CAGAGATAGACCTGGAAGTGGGCCTTCTTTTCCTCTCGTTTGCTTTCTGGTGGGCTGGTGGTGGTTTTGTGTTTGTTTTCTTCTCCACTGTTTGATCTTGCTTTTAGATGAGTGTGAACCAGGTTTCTAGCCTCTTGGGGTTGTGGTTCTGTTGTTCTTGTTATCTCTTCCTCTTCCTTCCCTCCAGTCTTCTGCACCAGTTTCCCAAAATGGGTCACAGCGCAATCCCCCTTTTTTCTCCAGCCCTACTTCTGATCTCTTCCTCTTCTCCCACCTCTCTTACTTTCTCCCTAACCCACTTTAAATTTTAACTCAAAATTGCCATATTAAGGACTTATATACTGCATGCAGGTTTAAGATTTTGTCATATAACCAGAAATCTAGTTCATATGGTTAAAGGTGGCAGATTAAAGGTTAGCTCAGCTTGTCCTTTTCTAGGCTGTGTTTGATGCTACTGTCATTGCTGATGGTATGACTATGGCCAAAAGTGAAATTATTCTAAATAGCAGTTCTTCCTGATATTCCAAAATTGAGATTGACTAAGGGTTACAGGAAATACTGTGGCACACTGCCAAAAGGCCAGCACCAACAAGCAGCAACTTCTCACTCCCAACAGATCGAAGAGGTAGGCCATGGCACAGACTGACAGAAAAATGAGATACTTCCACGATAAAAGCACCTGAGGAAATTCGGGACTACCGAACCAGCACTCCAGAATGTTCTGAAGGACAGTCTAGAAAGATAACTAGGACTACAGCTCCGTGAACCCCCAAATAAGAATCCACTAGGCAAGGCACACAACAGAGGGAGAGGAAAAAAGGAGCCAACTACAGGAGAATAACATGACAAGGATTTGTCAACATACAGCAGACAAAGGATCAAAGTTAATACTCTTAATTCACCAATGAAAAGACAAATACTGGAAGAATGGATAAAAAAGAAAGATCCAACAATGTGCTGCATACAAGAAGCACATTTAATTCATTTATTTAAATTTTTATTTTTTATATATAGGGTCTCGCTACACAGTTCAGACTAACAGTGATCCTCCTGTCTCAGCCTCTCTAGTGCGGGCATTACAGGTGTGGGCCACAACGCCTGGTTCTGGGCCAGCATGGCGTGGCGCGCCTGGGGTTCCAGGACCAACAGTCACGCAGTCAGTACCGGGGATCACACCTGGGGCCTTATGCTTGCCAGGCAGGCGCTTATGCTGCCAAGCGATTTCCCCAGCCCCAACACACTTTTTTTTTTTTTTAAATTTATTTTATTTTTTATTTTTTATTTTGTGTGTGTGTGTGTGTGGCCAGCTCAGCCCACCAGGGGGCGGGGCTGGCTGGCATGTGGTGCTGGGGGGTTGAACCGCAGTTCCCTGTGCTTTGCCAAGCTTGTTCCAAGTAGGTGCTTTAGACGACCACTGAGCCATCTCTCCAGCCCCCCCCCAACACACTTAATTCAAAAAGAAATTCACAGACTGGAAGTCAAAAGGATGGAAAATAACACTTTATGCAGCACACCTCACTGTCACAAAAAGACAGGTCAAATAGACAAAATGTCAGCAAGAAAATATTAAGAGTTGAAGCAAAGTTCTGAACAAATAGACTTAGCAGATATCTACAGTGTTTCACCCTGCATCAGAATATATATTCTTCGCAGCTGCACATAGGACGTTGTCCAAAATAGAACACATATTAGCTCATATAACATGCTTACGTAAGTGCAAAGGAAGTAAAATTATCCCATGCATACTATCAGAATATAGTATAGTGAAAGCAGAAATCAATGACAAAAAAACCCATAAGAAATTTATAAACACATAGAAATCAAACAGCACACACCTGAACACCCAAGGGGTCACAGATGAAGTTAAAGAAGTAAGACAGTTTCCACAATTAAACTATAATGCCAATGCAACCCACTGGAACGTATGGGACACAGTAAAAGCAGTCCTGAGACGGAAATTTCTAGCAGTAAGTACCAGTATCAGAAAAACGGGGCAAACACACATGAAGTTAATGTATGTTTGCCCTGTTTTTCTGATACTGGTACTTACTGCCTCAAACTTATAGAAAAAGAAGAGCAGCCTAAGCCAAAAGCTCATACAAGGGGGAAATTATGAAGATCAGAGCAGAAATGAACACACCGGAGATTTAAGAAGACACAAAGAATCAATGAATCAAACAGTAGGTTCTTTGAAAGATGAGATAACACTGACAAACCCTTGAGAAAAAAAAAAAAGACTGAAACTCACATGACTAGGAAAGCAAAGGGTGAAATCATGAAGGACCCTTAAGAAGTCCATTAGATCATCTACACCTACTGTGAAAACCTGTATTCTAGTAAGATGAAAAATGCAGATTCCTAGATACATATACATTATCAAACATGAATGAAGATATAAAGATTGTAACAACTGGCAAGATAGCTTAGTGGTCCAAAGCGTCTGCTTAAGCAAGCACAGGGACCACATTTCTATCTCCAGCACCCCAAAAAAATTAAAAATTAAAAAAACAAAAGATTCTAAATAAACAAATAAAAAATAAAAAAATAAACAATCTATCAATGAAAATTAAAGACCTACTTTTTATTTTAGTGAAGGGTCTACAGGGCCTCACTACTAGAGTGGACTCATAGTGATCCGCCTGTTTACAGTCTCGCAAGAGCTGGGATTACAGGTGCATGCCACCACGCCCAGTCTCTCAAAGACATAATTAAAACCTACCAACAAAGAAAAGACCAGGCCTTGACAATTTCACTGCTGAATTCTACAAGAAATTTAGAGAAGAGTTAATACCAGTACTGCTTAATCTCTTTAATGAAACAATACTCTCAAATTCATTCCTGGAAGCAAGCATTACCGTCAGACCAAAACCAGTCAAGGACCCAACCAAGAACGATAACTATAGGCCAATCTCTCTAATGAACACAGATGCAAAAATCCTCACCAAAGGCCAACAAGATAGCTCAGTCGTCTAAAGCACCTGCTTAGACAAACCTAGGCAAGTGCACAGAGACCACAGTTCAATCCCTGGCACCACATGCCCTGCCTGCCCCACCCCCAGGATGGGCTGAGCAGGCCTCAATCAATCAATCAATCAATCAATCAATCAATGTTATCTTAAAAAAATAAATTGTCACCAAGATCAATCCTCAAGAAGATTATGCAATATGACCAACTTAGATTCAGCCCAGGGATACAGGGATGGTTCAACATGCATAAATCAATAAATGTGATATACCCTATTAGCAGAGCTACTGACAAAAATCATATAATCACCTCACTAGATGCAGAAAAGGCTTGTGACAAACTCCACTACCCATTCATGATAAAAAGCCTATGGAAAATGGCAATAGATGATCTTCATCTCACTGATAGATACCATCTGTGACAAACCAACTGCACTCTTAGTGGACAAAAATTGCAAACGTTGTCTCTAAAATCAGGAACAAGACAAAGTTGTCCCCTTTCTCCACTCTTACTCACCATAGGCCTGTAAATTTTACAGAACAAGTAAACAAGAGAAAGAAAAAGAATGACAGCAAAGGAAAAGGTGAAATTATTATGAAGACATGATACTCTACACAGAAAGCCACAAAAACTCCATTAAAAAACTTCTAGATGTAAAAAGCAAATTTGGTAGGGTAAGAGACTTTTTTTGTTTTGGCGGAACCAGGGATTGAACTCAGGCCCTTGTACTTGCCAGGCAATGCAAATTCAGTAGTGTAGCTGGATACAAAGTCAACACTCTGGGGCTGGTGAGATGGCTCAGTGGTCTAAAGCACCTACTTAGAACAAGCTTAGTAAAGCACAGGGACCACAGTTCAATCCCCCAGCACCACATGCCAGCCAGCCCCGCCCCCAGGTGGGCTGAGCTGGCCACAAAAAAATAAATAAATAAACACTCTATAAAAAAAAAAGAAAGAAAGAAATCCAAATTAAAAAAAAAAATACACAAAGTCAACACTCAGAAATCAGGAGCCTTCTTATACAGAAATAACTCACTGAGAAATTAGGGAAACAACCTTGATATCATCCAAACAAATGAAATACCTAGGAAACAACATAATGAAGGATGTAAAAGATCTCTATGTTGAAAGCTACAGTACTCTGAAAAAGGAGACTGAAGAGGACATCAGGAAACAGAGAGTTACCCTTTTCTCCTGGGTAAGAACCAATATAGTGAAAACGGCCATACTTCCGAAACTGTTGGACAGATGTAACGCAATACTGAAGAAAACTCCAACAGCATACTTCACATAATTAGAGAAAACAATGCGAGAATTCATTTGGAACGAGAACAGACCTAGAACAGCAAAAGTCTATTGCCACTGCTGCCTTTGTCTCTAATTCTGGATGACAAAGTCAAGCCTGGGGCATCACAATCCCTGACCTCAAATTACACTACAAAGCTATGGTGAGAAAAACCGTACAGTACTGGCAAAAATACAGACTTGAAGACCAGTGGAAGGGAGCAGCAGATGCACAAGTGGGGGCTGGAGAGAGCTCAGGGGACTACAGCACCTGCTTAGGCAAGCGCAGGGAGCACAGCGCGATCCCCAGGACCACATAACGCACCAGCCCTGCCCCCCAGGGCAGGCTGAGGGTGGCATGTGCCTGTAATCCTAGTGCTGGGGAGGCTGAAAACTGGAGGATCACTATGAGTCCGAGCTGCATAGTGGGACCTTGTACCAAATACATTCAAACAAACAAAAAACCCCCAATATATTAATTATTGTCACCCTCCTATTACCTTGTTTTGAAATTTTTCCCCATTGTAATAAAAAATAAAGTACACATACTTGTAACATTTCTTTTTTTTTCATAATTTTATTGAGAAACAAATATCAATGAGATAGTTTCAAATTAAATTGACTTGTAACATTTCATCAGCAGGCAACCTCTTTGCTTTTGTCCAGTTTTGCCAAACTATATTCCCCTTGAAAGCCTTATGTGAAACCCACCCGACCATCAAACCCTTCACCTACTCATCAGTGATACATACAAGCTCCGGATGCAGCTGCAGACTGGACCCAAGGCAGAAGACGCTGGTTGAGGGGCTGGAACCCAGAGCGGTAAGCGTGACTCAGCATCGTGAGATGTGGCCGCCAATGCAGGACCTGCAAAGGTGCTTTTAAAAGCAAATGATGAACAGTTTGATTTTCCTCCTCTTCCCTAGCCTCTCAAAATAAAAACTGACCCTCCTGATCCACGTTAGCATGTTAAATGCATAATGAGCACATGGCTACAAGTAGCCCTGAGGACACGGTGGTTATGGGCATTTTCCTACTCTGGGTTAAACTGTCCAACTGGTAGCCCACTGATTTTGTGTCCTGGTGAAGAACCATCTTGTACTGCATATAAACTATATTTAATAATATAGTGAATGTATATCATAAAACTTCCTTTAAATTTTTTTATTGTATCAAAAAAGAGGGGGGGAAGTGGGCCACAGGTTGGACACATACCTGCTTTACACAAAGAATTATTTCTCTTTAAAAAAAAAAAAAAGGGACTCCTTCCAACACATACATGGAAAAGCCATCCCTCACTGTAGCTTCTGTTATGCTACCGGGACGCTGGTGTCGTCACAAGAACACTACTGTGCTTTCTTCGCCTGTGCGACTAACTTACGCTTTACTGCCTTATGGATATATTCCAATTTTCACAAACCTAGGTAGCATTTAGCCCCATAGTGCAGAAGAATAAAAAATAATGGCATCTACTGTTCCACAATTTATACGACACCTTGGTGCAGAAATAGGAGAAGGACAAAACAGGCATAAAATTATGGAAAAAAAAAAAAAAGGAAAAAAACAGGCAAATGTATCTGCTCTAAAACATGTGGGCTCAGGCAGGCCGCTCAAGATGCTAAGGATGGACTTCTTGACTTTCATTTCCTGCATGACACTGAAATAGGATGCAAGCAAGCCCATGAGCTACGTTTGCCATTTATATAAATTCCTTCAACAATGGTTGCTAAACACGTTAATTCTCCAAAACACCTGTAGAGAACCAGAGTAAAACGACATTAACCTGTAGTTCTATCTTCTTTATGAACAATTTCCACACAACTCAAACCTTCCAGATTGCATTTAAACCTGTAGGTAGCTTTTTTTTTTTTTAACCTGGTGCTACAGCTGCTTTTCCCAAATGGTTTATAAACTTTCCACTGACAGCATAGGAAAAAGGATGGGGGACCTAGACTTCGAAATTGGACATATTTCGGCGTGAGCTGGACTTGCTGTGAGCCTTTTGGAGTGTTAGAATTCTTAGCCTGTGAATCCGGGGCAACAGCAAAAAAGATCTCACGAAATTATTGTGAGAATTAAATAACACACGGAAAGTGCTTGGGCGTGTAACAGATGTAACTGTAACTTAAGTGCAACTTTCCTGCTTTTGTTCTTTAGGCAGCAATATGGCTTATAATATTCTTCTCCCTTCCAGTAACTGTCACAAGCGTAAAGTCAATAAAGGGCCACTGATGGGTCTGATCACACATGCTTATTATGGACTGCTTACCTCCCTCTTATCTACAGTAATTGAGAGCTCTGAGCGTTTAAGGTCCACGGCGTTACCCTGGAAGACCCGACCTCCGGGCCTCTTCGCAGGACTACTTTTTCTAGAATGGAGAAAGTCCACTGGTGGTTAACTCCAATCCCTCGCTCCACCAGATGGTTCACCCCGCCGGAGTTATTAACGCCCTCAAGAAGTAGACAGATAATCCTAAGGTGCACAAGGGGCATGTGTGTCTAGACAGTCCACAAGTCACGATGGGAAAAAGTTGGTTTTTGTGTTTTTTAAGTTTCTGGTTTTGATTCAGGCCCCTACTCCAGTATCTGCACATGGTCTGAACAGAAGGCTCTTATCACTGCTTCAGACACAGAGCTGAACTTCGGCCCCAAGAAGCATCACCCAGAAACACATGGCTCCCCAGTGGGACACAAAAGGCAAAGGCTGGATGACAACGCTCACCACCCAGAGGGCAGGGGACGAGGGCGGCGGGGCGCGGGGGAGCGCAGCGGAGCGGGCTCCTCGCCCCGGAAGGCGCACTCGCCGCACAGCTCGCGGGGGCGCACCGGGCGGTGGCGAGGTCACCAGCGCCAGTCGGGCCGGGGACGGCAGACACAGGCTCCTGAGAGAGGCCCGGCCCGTCCCAACCCGGGGTGCCGGTGCCGGTACCGCCGCCGCCGCCGCAGGTGCACACGAGAGCTTGCGGGCTGCCGACCTCCGCTGCCCGGTTTTCTCCCGCGAGGGCGGGCGGGCCTGGCGGCATCCGCAGCGCCCGGGAGCCTGCGCCCTGGCCCACGGCCCCTGCCCGCGCCCCGGCACCCCGACCCCGCT